TCTTTTATCCAAAAGGCTTCATCAGTCTGAGGAGCTGCAACAAACTCAGTCTAATAAATAGCACCTTCTCATGGTGGATCCACCAGTTTGCTGGTGACAGCCTGAACTAGCTGTTCACATGCAAAAGGAGGCCCATCAGCCTAACAATCAATCCTTAGTGCCCTGATGACCACTTGCTATTCACAGAGGGCTGACTGATGCAATCACAGCATTGTAAGAAGGGGACAGTCAAACACGAAGGCCTCTGCCTCGTTTAATGATGGACGGGTTCTCTTCACAAAGATGGCTTCCTTAACTCCTCTCAAACCAACGTTCCTCTCTGTCGAGGAACATCTCCATCCCTGAAAGAGTGACCGCTGGCCTGGAGACGAGTGCAGACCGCAGAGTCCTGGCCTGATGGTGGCGCTCTTCTCTGCTCATTTTATTGCTCACAGATTTTTCTCATACTTCTTAAATAAATCTTTGAGGTTTGAGTTTTACCTCGATGATTAGACTTTTATTATCCTTCATCTCTGCTAAAAATTAGTTTTAGATTATAGCTTTTTTATGAATATTTCTCTCAAATCAAGGTTGAGTTGAATGCAAACGACTGCAGGTAGGACACTGACTAATCATCATGCACCTTCACATTTGTAGTGAACCAGATGACCTCAAATCTACCAGATGGACAGAGACTGTTATTTTCATTGATCTGAATAAGTCTGAACCATCTGATGAACTTTCTTTCTTGAATTAATCAAGCAGAAAAGACAATTCTTTATAATCATTACTGTCTTACAAATGTTTTGATAATCAAATTGTGTTAGTTCACTCAATGCTTTACAGGTTGAAAAGAACTACTAATTTTTATTTTACATAAACAGTAAGTAATGATTTTTGTTCCTCATTCAGAGAAGAAATCACCTGAATATGCCTTTCTTGATTTTCTGTCTGAAATGAGCAAGCTGTCGTAAGTATGTGAAAGGTTGGTCTTCGGTCAACTAAAATGTTTACTGAAGAAGAAATGTCATGTTTAAACTTTTTCAGAAGATTACCAAGAGTAGACTCCAGAAAGTCTGCTGCTTCTGCAATAATCTTTTCTGTATGTTAAACAAGTTTCATTCTCTGACCTCGACTGTTGATAAACACCTTACGTCAAAAACACACCTCTTTCTGGTCCTTCCACGAATCAGAAAGCTCTAAACTGAACAGGAAGTAAACTCATTTAAAATGTGACAACTTCCCAGTTCAAGTCAGATTTTCAGAATTCCAAGAGAATGAGAGCTGACAACAGATTGAGAGTTCTGAGAGATGTTGGATTGAGAGCTGACAACAGGTCCGATAGTCCAACAGAATGAGCAGATTGAGAGTGCAGCCGGTTCTGAAGGTTTCAGAGCAATGAAGAATCCAGAGGTTTTGGGATTATAATTCTGTTTTGAGCTAACCACGCACGACTCTCCGAGGATTTCTAGCTGTTCTGAACGGAGGCGCTGAAACAGTCTGAAGGACTCTTACTGAGCTGATCTATCGTCAAACCAGGTAAAGATTTCCTCTTCGACTCAAGTGTACCGTGGACGGGCTGAGGATCTGACGAAGCGTGCAATTTCTGGTTAAACAGATTAAACTTCCCTCACACAGTTCTCTGTAAGATAATCTCCTCTCACTCTAAAACCCACCTCTCTCTCATAAATCAGTACAGATATTTTAGAAATATCTTAAGCAAAGTCCTCAAATCACCGCCGAGTGATTTGAAGTTCATTTTCTGTGAAACTGTCTGTTATTATTTTCATATTTTGCCAAATTAATGTAAATGTTTGATGTTAAACTTTGATTTTGAAAATAAATGATTCCATTCATTTGATGGGTCAAAGATAAATAACATCTCTCGTTCACATTTCTGTTAAATTCAATGCACGACATTTACAGTCAGAAAAATGAAGAACTCGTGAATATTGTATGCATATATAATTCATATATTTGTCATACAACAAGTGACACGTACCTCACGTGTCTCACTACACATTAAATAACACAAACATAAATCAATCATTTAAGAACACTTTGATTTTTACAGAGCGGTAGGTGGTGCGCCTTTAGATTTGATGAAAAAACTTTTGGCCCAACATTAAATTATCAAAACGTCAAATTAGAGAACTAAAAATTAATCATGCTGTGTGTTTCAGGGTGAATCCTATATAGTAAATATATTCTACCATTTTAAGCATACATAGTAAAACCAAAGTATAGTGTTGTAATATTACTGCAATGATCATCATCATTTAGTTCTGTCATTGTTACAGGGGATTATTTTATATTACACTGTAGATATTCTACCCTGCAGCATACAGTAAATGAAACCTGCAAGCTGTGCTAAAACTACAGCTTAACAAAGTCAATTAGATTTAACTAGGAGGACTAATTTACCCCAATCCTCTTTGTTTGGTAACCAAAATGCAGCAAAGCCTGAAGACCGACTCAGTTCAGATTAAAGTGGATCCATTTAAGCTAATTACAATGATCACAGCACCTTCCTTAAGCTTTACACGCAGATAAACACAAGAACAGAGTCTCCTGGAAGTTTTGTTTCATTTTATAATATATCTGTATTTTGCAGCATTTATTTACAAAGGCATGTGCTATTTCAATTCAGACTCTAAATAAGGCGTCAGCTGCTTCACCTATATTCTTAATCTTAGGCATAGATTATTGGTAGATCTTTGTTAAACTTAAAAAAAAATTGAATAGTCATCTTAAACAAGACATGCAGAAGAGGGGATTGTTAGACTTGTTTCACGATTGTGGCTGTGAGAAATTCATTAAAGTTCAAATAACACTTAACATTTGATGTAAACGTGTTGCATTCAAAGAAAAATACATTAATATTCTCTAGAAATGTTAAACATCTGTGATGTAAAACCAAGATGTAGCTCACTTTTTACCCAAGGACTGATGAGCTGCTCACAACCACAAAAAGTGGGTAAAAAAAAAATGAATGCACGGATGGAAAATGCAATTTATATACAATTTAATCCAACAGAAGAGGCTTGACTGGTGTCTCAACACTAGTTGGATAAGTTACTTATCTGCTAGAAGAATATCTTCATGATCAAATAAAAAATCCAGACAGAAGAAATGAAACAAAGGCTAAAAGGGCTACTTCTGCTGCCATCTAGTGGTCAAAATTTCCCATCAAACCTTGGTCTATGATGAGCAGAATAAAATGTTAAAGACTATATTTTATTCCTGATTTGTGTGTCAGATGAAAAAATAAGATTGATTGTGAGAAAGACGAGAGTCTTACTTTTCTGCCTGAGCTCAAACGCTTTGATTTAAAGAGGCGACATGGAGAGACAGTTAGAGCCTTTCATGAGGTTCAAAATGGTAATTTCCTCTCTAAGTGGATGTGATAGCACTGGATTGTTTCTCCCAAGTATTCACCCGAGCGTGTCACTCACTGCTTTTTGTTAAGAGGTGAAACGGGATCAACTCATTTCTGTTTTTCTGTGTAATCTCCTGCTGATTTCTGCACTCGAGAGCCGAAACGTGCTCATGGGAAGGTCTCCTAAATGCTCAGCTGATTTTGTTCTTCCTTTGAACATCAGTTTTAGTCAATTGGGCTAAAAAATCACATTGAGACATTCATTACTCTGGAGTTGTTCACTTTTCCAAATTTTGAGACAATTATCCTCAAGCACAGCAGAGACGAGCCATTTTTCTTCAGCTCTATTGACACATATTGATCGGGCATTACTGTGGGGGTTGTTGCTGAGGCATGATCAAAACGTGTGAGAGCCTCTGAACACACACACACACACACAACAATAAAAATAAATAAGGCTGCTTATGCACAAGAACATGGATTCAACAGAAGATGCATAACATTTTCAAACAATATCTCCAAAATGAGGACATGTTGACCAGATTAAACAAAAAGATTAATAAAAGATTAAAGATACTCTGAAGACAGAAAAACAAACAACAACATTTTGTTCTCATATCAGTGGCTTAATGAGTCCTAATTACAATTTGCAAGCAAAACATGTGAAGAGATGCCAGCTAGCATGTGAGTTTCTTTACCCACAAAAACAGCCGAAATGACTGAAGTTAGCAATAGTGATGTCTGTGGAAGAGTCGTTTGGGATTGAGAGGTCACACAATTTTATTGTGTTGGTTTGTACACTCAGACTGAGGCCGAGTGGTTAGAGCAGTTGGTCTCCAATGGGAGGGTTGGGGGTTTGATTCCACCAGCAGTCACAGGTTGAAGTGTCCCTGGGCAAGACCCTGAACCCCTCATTGGCTCTGATGTGTGTCCCATCAGTGTATGAATGTGATCAAGCTCTGATTATTCTTGTATAGATAGAGCGTTGTATGAAATGAGGGCACAGATTGTCGTAAAGCACTTTTAGTATCTTGATTAGATTGAAAGGCGCTATGTAAGTAAAGTCCATTTGTGCTCAGAAGTCTTGAGTTCAGATAAAAGTGGTTTTTGTTTACATTCAGTACCTGCATTTCACAGAATTGAATATTTGGGAAGCTACCAGAGTAAAATCTTTCAAGCTGCACAGTTTGATTTAGTTCAGGATAACCTTTTTATGTTTGGTTTTACAATGAGTGCCTTTGGAACATATTATAAGGACTCCTCTTTAAATGTGTTGTCAGGTGTAACTTTATCTGTTAAAATTCCCTTCAACTGCAACAGGTATGACGTGTGATGCTCCACATGTCGGGGCTTTCAGACCAAACCAACGTGTCTGTCATTTCCACAGCCCCGTGAGAGATTCCTGTTACTCCACTCCCCCCACCACCACCACCACTTTTCGCGTTTTTATTTCCGAGGTGGAGTCTGAACCCCGGACTGTAGCAAACGCAGCAGCCGGAGGAGACAGGACCTGGGAGCAGCTCGGATTCGGTTGGCACAGATCTGGGACGCGACACATCCGCGAAGGAACACCAGGGACGGATTCAAGGAAGGACCGGAATCAGGAGGAGAGCTTCCAGTTGATCCAGTTTTTAAACCAGCTGCAAACGGAGCAGCGAGGAAAAATGGTGAATTATTTGATCCTGCTGTTGGTTTTCGCCCCGGTTGTCACCGGAAAGTCACCTCGACTCAAATTTGTCGTGCACGGTAAGAGCTGAGATTAGGATTATTAACGGGTCTGAACGCATCAGCTAAAAATCGTTGATCTGTGTTGGAAGTGGCAGAGATGGATGGATGAATGAGTGAACGGTTGAGGTGAGTGCATGAATGAGGTGATGCCCTTTTTATTTTCCACTTCGCCTCATTTAGACAACTGTTGTTTCTGATTATTAAGAAGAAAAAAAAACACAAGCATGATAAGGAATAATTCCCTAAAACACGCCCTCTTTTCTGCTAGCTGGGTTATAAATTACACTCCTTTCATCCAGGCCCATAAACATGCTCAAATCCTCATAATTTTGCATTTATTGAAAAAAAAAAAGACGATTTATTTAAGCTTCAACAACAACCACGGAACAGGGCTCGAGCGTTTTTTTGCAAGTGCATGCGCTGATATTCGTTTTTTTTCCTCCTGTTTTCTCTGTTTTTGCCCCATAAATTTGTGCAACTTGTGGCTTTTCTTTCCCTTTCTCCGTGTCATGTTGGGTGCTATGTTCAAATAAAACCACCAGAAGTTCACTTTTTTTGTCCATCTCACCCAGCTAGTTCATCCTTATGGTGAGAGTGTCCATGCGCACAGAGGTGTATAAAACCAAAGGAGGTTAAATAAATAAAAATATAACAAAACAACATTTTCTGTTCCAAGAGGGGGATCATGGCGCCTTTTGAGCCCCGCTCCCTGAAAGGCCGTGTCTTTCTTTGTAAGTCACAGACGGTCATCAGTGAAAAGCGTCATTATTGTGAGTTATGACTTCTCCGAGGTTGACACATTCATGGGAGCAGACGTGTCCTTGCGGAGCTGCAATGCGGGACGCAGCAGCTGCTTCACACTGCAGCAGGAAGGAGGACTCGGATCCAGGCACAGATTGGACTGATCAGAGTGGAAATAAAAATAAAAAAACCACATCCATATGTAGGCTACACATTTAAAGGAACAAACAGGGAAGGAGGAGGAGAAGGATGAGTGGAAAATTCCAAGCCGACTCCTTGTTATCCATTCCACTCACGCACTTTTACACCACACACACACACAAACACTGAGACATCTAATACAATCAGCAATCAATAGAGACGGAGGGTGTGTGTCAACTTCTCTCTATCTGGATCCAGATGAGCACCACACACAATCACAGGATGACGTCCATGGACGTGCGTGACATTTCAATCCAACACGTTCTTGTGTGCATCCAGAAACAGGGACGCAAGAAAGCCTCAGCTTCGGAGCCGTTTCAGCACCATGGACAGCTCTAAGCCACTCCAGTGGGGAATCTCAGAGAGAGTCAGTTCTATGTCATATAGGCTTCGCCCTTTAAGGCTGTCGCTGATGGGTTTATCCCGTTATGCGCAAGCATCGTACTGAAAAAATTAGTCCACGCCCACCTGCTGTGTGGGCCCCACCCGATCCGTATAAATTACGTTAAGAGCGGGTAATCTGCTCCCAGTTTTTCTTCAGCAAGCATAATAAAACAAGAATAAACTGACCTTTTTCGTCGAGATGTCCAGCTCCAGCACCATCCGTTTGTGTCCCTCGTGCAAGACCGGCTACTTGCTTAGCTTCGACCGGCACGACACCTGCGAGGGATGCCTGGGTCCCCGCCACGTCGCTCGCGCTTCCTCCTGCCGCCTCTGTGACGAGCTTCCACCGGAGGAAAGGCAGAGGAGAGCAGCCTTGTTTAAGGCTACCATCGAGGACTGCCTGTCCGTGGCGGGAGACTGTTCGCTGGACGACGCCATGGATTTCTTCGACGCCGGCTCTCGGAGTGAATCGGATGATTCCTCTGGGACCGGTGACGCTAGCAGCAGCCCCGACGCTCGTTCCCTCCCGGGGAGCGCAGTGTTGGAAAGAGGGAGGCCGAGCGGATGCTCGACTCCCCCGGGGTTTCCCGCCTCAGCGACCACATCGCTCCCTGCCGTGGGCGCGCTCCTCTCGGAGCTGCCCGCCATTATCCGGGAGGCTGCTAGCGTTAAGGGGCTCTCCGTCCCCTCACCCCCCCCGCTCAGATCGGATGATCTTGCGGGAAGGTTTGGCTCCACGCCGGCTCGCCGTCCTGATCCCATTTGGCCTCGTTTTCCTGCGGTGACAGCGTACTGGAACGAGGCCGCAGCCGGTCCTGGTAGGTTAAGGGCGCCCGTCTCCACTTACGCCCCCATCACCAGAGTGGAGGGGTTCACCGAGCGGGGCTTTCCCTCGGTACCCCCCCTCGAGCCAAGCCTCGCGGAAGCCTTCGGAGCGAAGATGTCCAGGCTGGAGAAGCGTCCCGTCCCTCCGGGGAAACACGACCAGGTGGCGACCGCGCTCTCCAACAGAGCCCACCAGTGTGCTTTTCAGGCGGCCGCGGCTAACAACAACGTGGCGCTGTTAGCATTTAGCATGTCGAAGAGGCTGGAGGCCTCAGGCCTGCCGGAGGAGACGAAGAGCTCCCTGTGTAAATCGGCAGACGCCGTCCTCAACATGTGCGCCGCTTCCACGGTTTGCCTGTCGAGGATTGCTTCATGGATGACGGTAATCCAACGCTCCATCTGGCTCCGTCACTCCCCATTGCTGCCGGAAAAGCTGCACAAGGACCTCATGGAGGGCCCCATCTCATCGGACGCGCTGTTCGGAAGCAGCTTGAAGACCATGCTGGCGAATTCCAAGCAGTCGGAGGAGATGTCGGAAGCGGTACGTCATCTCATCAAGCCGCGCGGCCCATCCCGTCCCCCAGCTCGCTGGAAGGATCGTCGAGAGCAGAGGCAGAAGCACCGACGCTCCACGGCAGCAGCAGCTTCGTCTCGCCCAGCTCCACCACCAGCCCCGCCCGCCAGAGACCACCCCTCCTCAGCCCGGCAGCCTGCACTTCAGCGTTTCCCCAGAGATCGCCTGCAGACGGCGCTCGGGTCAAACAAACCGCAGAGCTCACGAGGGAGAAGGTTTAAGAAATGACGGTCTGCGGGGGATGTGTGTATGAACGAAACAGGAAGTGAAATAAATGATTTTTCAAAAATCAAAATGCCTGTTTTTAGCCAGTCTGTAAGTTCGGATGAGCTCACAGCCGCTACACACACATCCTCCACACAGAGAGAGCCGGTGGCCTTAAATAAAGGTTTTTTAAACCCACCGCCGCTCCTTCACATGCCCAGACGCTCACGTGACACCACGGTAAGCGAAATATCTTGTTGTCAAACAGAACCGCACGATCACCACTCAAACGGTGTTAAACGCGCACCCGAGCGAGACAAGCACCGTCCATCCAAACGGCACTGTGCCGATGATGCACGCACAGCTGCCCGGCGCTCACCGGCTCACATCGGGATAAATGTGGGACCGCAGGCCGGGTCCGGTGGAGGTCCCCGCTCTCAGCAAAAACAACACACGTTTTTCCTGAATAAACGCGAACAGCCGTCATCCATCGCGCCTCTGCGACCAGCAGCTCACGGCGACATAAGCGTGAGACAGCTGAATGAATCCAATGACGGGCCCCGCCCTCAGCGAGAGCGGCGCGCGTCCCTCCAGAGAAAACGTGCGCTCCCGCGAAGTTCACAATCTTCACTTCGACAGCACGGCGTTGATGACGTCACGCCCTCCACCTCTCAACGTTCGCACAGCGACGTTAAACGTGCAGCCTCTGGACGTCACCAGCTGACACACGCCTCGCCTCAGCGCACACCGCCCCGCCCGGACATGAAGGTTGGTCCGCGATCCAGTCACAGCGCACGGGCGCGCGCAGAACAGCCCTTTCGAGAAAGCCTCGCCTTGGGTCACGCGGAAAACATTTCCGCGACGCATGACGGCGGTCGAGGCGGAGGTTTGGATGACATCCGTTCAAAACACGGCACATCATTTAAACGCACGTCCACTCCACGAACGTCACGCAGAGTGGTTAAAAACATGCTCACCGGACAGATGGATGGACAGAGTGTTATGCAAGGGTTACACGCTGCAGTTTGCAACCCGACCCCCTCCGTTCGGAGGAGTTATAGAGACGGTCCTGTCATCACCAGACCAAGTCTCAGCCTTAAATGCAGAAGTCCAAGAGCTTCTGATAAAAGGTGTAATCTCAAGAGTTCCCAACGAGGAAGAAAACACAGGGTTTTACTCACGCTACTTCCTGGTCCCCAAAAGGACCGGAGGGATGAGACCGATTCTGGATCTGTCAGCTTTTAACAAAGCGATCATGAACAGACCTTTTCACATGTTGACGAACAGACAGCTGTTGGACAACATCCAGAAAAACGACTGGTTTGTTTCCATCGATCTAAAAGATGCTTATTTTCACATACCAATCATCCCAAAACACAGAAAATTTCTGCGTTTCGCCTTTCAAGGGATGAAGTACCAGTACAACAGGCTGCCTTTCGGGTACTCCCTCGCACCTCGTACGTTCTCAAAGTGTGTGGAGACAGCCCTGCATCCGCTGCACAGAGCAGGGATGAGAGTTTTGTTTTACCTGGACGACCTGCTGCTCCTGTCTCACTCCAGACAGGAAGCATTGATACAGGCTCAGGTGTTGGCATCACACCTGCTAAATCTGGGCTTCGCCATAAATTGGAAGAAAAGCTCGATTTTCCCGGCCCAGACAATTGTTTATCTGGGAGTGGAATTAAATTCAATTACCATGACGGCTCGCTTATCACAAACAAGAATCGACACTCTAAAAAACCAATTACGCCACGTAAGACCTGGCAAAGTGGTAACAGCTGTCTCCGTCATGAAGCTGTTGGGAATGATGTCATCAGCTCACACAGTGGTCCCGCTGGGTTTGTTACACATGAGGCGCCTCCAGAGGTGGTTTACGCGCCTGCGTGTGGATCCAGTAAAACAAAAGAGACGGATGATCACTGTCCCTCCCTCCGTGAGAGCAGACCTCCGACACTGGGGAAACACCCTGGCTCTGTCAGAGGGAGTCCCCGTCAGCAAACCCTCGACACACGTGTCAGTCTTCACGGACGCGTCTCTGTCAGGTTGGGGGGGGACATGCCTATCTCAAGCAGTAGGGGCGCTGTGGCCC